TGTATCCCCCAAAAAATATCATTGGAATACATAATCACATATTGTGCTTATTCCTCCTTTTCTCCTATCTGTATCCCCCAAAAAATATCATTGGAATACATAATCACATATTGTGCTTATTCCTCCTTTTCTCCTATCTGTATCCCCCAAAAAATATCATTGGAATACATTGGAATACAAACTGTGAAAATAAAATATGTACACATACAGACATACAATTAATAATAAAAATAACAAAAAACAAAAACTTTATTAAGTGCACTAGATGTGGGAAGGCCAAAACAAAACAGTTTGGAAAAAGCTGTTTGGCTGTGACACTTTCTGCCCCAGCAAAAGCAAATCTTTGGAGGAGTGACTGGGAGAACAGCATCGGCTGAAGAGGCCGGAGGTCCCCCACCCCTATGATCTGGATGTGGACGTGCCCCTGCAGATACTGGAAATATGTCTGGAAATATGTTCACTTGTAATTAGATGTTTATACTTACCCAAATATATCCCAGATAAATCAATAGCCTGTAAATACTTCCTCCTTTTTAGTTAACTTTTATATGTTGGTATAATGTCATGTTGCATTATGTTTTCTATTAGATTTGTTGTTCATAGACAGAAGTATGTTGTGTTCTTTACTCTGTCTTTGTAAATAGACCTAGCGCTGACTTCAATCCTGATAAAGACCCTCAAAGAGGGTTAGATGGTGTTGGGCTTACACCATCTACGCCCCCTGGTGATTGATACCAGGGATTGGGGTAGATGATGCCATTATCTTCCTCCTGCACCAAGCTCTGACTCACCTAGAGAAAGTTAGAAGGACTCTAAGGATCATACTCCTTGAATTCTCCAGTGCTTTCAACACCATCCAGCTAGGACTCCTAAGGAACAAGCTGGAGCTGTCAGGAGTGGACCAGCACATGTTCCAGTGGATTTTTGACTACCTCACAGTCATCCACAGTATGTGAGGGCACACCTTTCATTTTGCTCATCATTGCCCAATTTGCACAAACACTTTCTGTCTGCTCAGTGGAGCTACCAGGTGGTGGTAAGGGCATTGCACAGGGTGGCAACCCCACTCGACAGTATAAATCAGGGGTGGGACACTCCAGTCCTGGAGGGCCTGTATCCTGGAACTTTTAGATACGTCCTTGACTTAACACACCTAAATCAAGAAACGGATAATTAAAAGGACTCTGGAGAAATTGATTGCATACTGGGGAGGTAATTCAACCATTTGATTCAGGTGCGTTGGACCCTCAAGGACTGGAGTTGCCTACCCCTTGTCATGATGGGTGCACGGAGAGTGACCCAATTATGCAGAACACCACTTAGACGGACACAGGAGTAAAAGTTTAACAAGTTTATTTTGCACAAGCACACTTATATGATTGGTTCAGGTTCGGGCCTGGAAACTGGTTCACCGGAGTCTGCGTGAGAGACAGTTCAGTTAGCGTTGTACCTTGGAGTTTGATTCTTTGATAGTTACTGATTGTACCTTGAGGGTTCTTGCAGACAGCTTTGAGAGGGCTACTGTTG